TTCCTCATGCAACTTACTTGTGCCTTCAGGACCTGCTCAAGCCCAATCTCTAATATACCACTTCCACTTAATGATGGAGTGCTGCTGTGCACGTCCAACTTTATGACTCTGTGGGTCAGACAACACCCAGTTCATGATGGGCAGCTCAGGCCTCATGGTGACTTGGTGGCCCACGGCTAGGTGTTAGTATCTACTAAAGCCCAGTAACAAGCCAAAAGCTGTTTCTCAAAAGGAGAAACAATCCTTATCTGCAGAGGATGACAGGACTCTGCTCCAAAACTCCAAGGGTCTGCGTTGCGATTCACCAATAGGGACCTGTCAAAGGCTCCAAACGCCATTTTTATCTACTACACATGCTTCAAGCACCATTGGATCAGCCGAATCATATGGCCCAAGTGGCAGAACAACCTGCACAGCAGCCTGAACCTGTTGCAGAGCCTTCTGTTGTTCTGGGCCCCACTCAAAACTAGCAGCTTTCCGAGGCACTTGATAAATAGGCTGCAGCAACACACCCAAATGAGGGATATGTTGCCTGCAAAATCCAAAGAGGCCCACCAGATGTGCCTCCTTTTTATTTTTTGGGGAAGCCAGATACAATAACTTACCCTTCACTTTAGAAGGAATATCTCGACATGCCCCACACCATTTGACCCCTAGAAATTTCACTGAGGTGGAAGGTGCCTGAATTTTCATTGGGTTAATTTCCCAACCTCTAGCATGCATATGTCTTACCAATAAGTCAAGAGTCATCAATACTTCTTCTTTACTAGGTCCAGTCAGCATAATGTCATCAATATAATGGACCAATGTGATGTCTTGTGGAAGGGAAAGGTGATCAAGATCTCTGTGGACTAAATTATGACATAGTGCCGGGGAGTTGATATACCTTCGAGGAAGGACTGTGAAAGTATACTGTTGGCCTTGCCAGCTGAAGGCAAACTGCTTCTGATGGTGTTTTGAAATTGGTATCGGGAAAAAGGCATTGGCCAGATCAGTAGCTACATACCAAGTACCAGGAAATGTACTAATTTGCTCAAGCAATGAAACCACATCAGCAACAGCATCTGCAATTGGTGTCACCACCTGATTAAGTTTACGATAATCTGCTGTCATTCTCCAAGATCCATCTGTTTTTTGCACAGGCCAAATAGGTGAATTAAATGGGGATGTGGTGGGAATCACCACCCCTGCATCCCTCAAGTCCTTGATGGTGGCAGTAATCTCTGCAACCCCTCCAGGGGTGTGGTACTGCTTTTGGTTTACTATTTTTGTAGGTAGAGGCAGTTCT